CTAAGTGCAAGCCACATCGTAAAGGAGCACTTTGGGGGAATAGTTGAATGCCAGATAAAGGACATCCAAGGCTTGGGATTAGCCTTAACCCTAAACAAATCATAAACCTTACTCGGAACAAGGTTTCCTCCCATACAAAGAGTTTGCATAGCCACTTCCAAAGAGGGAATATGATCACCAAGCTTTTGGATCAAAAGCCCGCGCACATAGGCTAACCTTTTAAAGAAGACAGTATGCCTCTTCTTGGGTTGCCACTGCCAAATATCTTCCTGTTTAAGATAAACACAATGGACCCACTTGACCCAAAGAGAATCTTTCTTTGCTGCCAGATTCCAAAAAAGCTTGCATAACATAGCATTATTCCAGTTCCCAGCATCTCTAAGGCCTAGCCCCCCCTCTGTTTTGGGTTTGCAAACATCAGCCCAAGCCACTTTAGCAAATTTACTCCCCCAAAGGAAGTTACGGCATAAAGCTGTAATGCGATCCAGAACGTACTTTTGGACTAGGAAGGCCTGTAGCCAAAAGGACTGCACCCCCTGAATTACAGCCCTAATCAATTCCAGTTTCCCAGCATAAGAAAGCTTCAAGGTTGCCCACTTGGAAAGGAAACCGTCCACAGATTTGAATAAGGGGGCATAATCAGCTTCAGAAATCCTTTGGGAGGCCAAGGGAAGTCCCAAATATCTAACAGGAAGATGCCCACGAGGGAAAGATGCCAAATCTAGAATATCCTGGCTGATTTCCTTGTACTTACCAGCAATGAAGATATTAGACTTAGGTTGATTTAGATTCAAACCTGACACACTGGAGAAGTGGCTAAGTGCATCCATAAGCATTTGAACAGATTGGAAATCACCCCGAGAAAACAACATAAGATCATCAGCAAAAGCCAAGTGTGTAATCCCCAACTGCACACAGTCCTTGTGATAATTAAACACACCCTCTCTAGCTTTAGTATTGAGTACCCTAGACAAATACTCAATACAAAAAAGAAAGAGGGTTGGTGCCATGGGATCCCCTTGTCTCAAACCACGCTTGCTGTTGAAAAAGCCGTGGCAGTTTCCATTAATCATAAGAGATGAGGAAGCAGATGAAACACACTCCATGATAAGGCCAACAAACCTGGTTGGGAAACCCAGACCAACCATGACATCCCGGAGGAAGCTCCAAGAAACTGTATCGTAGGCCTTAGTGATGTCCAATTTGATCATGCAACTAGGGGTAGACCTTTTAATAGCATAATCCCTGATCAGGTGTTGAGCCAGCAGCAAGTTGTCCACAAGTGACCTCCCTTTGACAAAAGCCCCTTGGGCTGGATCAATTAGGGCAGACAGTAGAGGTGCCATACGCCTAGCAAGGATTTTGGTGATAGTTTTGTAGAGGACATTTAGGCATGCAATAGGTCTAAAGTCCTTTACAGATGGATTATGGGCAGATTTGGGTAATAAAACAATCATAGCATGATTAATTTGTTTCAGCAGCTTCCCAGAGGTAAAGAATTCTAAAACAGCATCATAAACATCCTTCCCAATAGTAGGCCATTGGTTTTTGAAAAATGCAGCAGTATACCCATCAGAACCAGGTGCCTTATCATTCCCAATATCAAAGACCACCTCCCTCACCTCCTCAAGACTCACGCTGGCAAGCAAAGTACTGTGGGCAAAAATGGGGACAGTAGGTCCAGCAGCCAGATAATTAGTACAGTTTAATGAGTTTGGCACTATTATTGATACATGTTCTTCCACTTTTCCTGTTCCTTCTATTGGTACTTCCCAGAGTCTTCTTCTTACCCAATTCACACAACCTCTGTCCTTATCAAGTGAAGATGTCTGTATTGCTGAAAGCACAGATTCTGTGTCAGTGGAATCCACACCTAATGTTGTTATTTCTCATTACCATCCAACAACTATTCGCATGGATTGCATATACAAGTCAAAGATGGACCTTCAGCATCATTTGCAAATGTTTTCCATTGTTAATAACTTCCAGTTCAGAACTGTAACTTCAACGAAGACATCCTATCATGTCGTGTGTGTTGATGCTAATTGTAAATGGGCCCTTCGTGCTGTACGTGTATGTGGTGCAAGTTTATTCCAAATTAGAAGGTATATTTGCATTTTGAAGTCTTATTTGACCCTCTCTTTTGAATAGGTATATACACACGCACACACACATATATATCTGACATTTGGGCTCTTTTGTGTCTTAGGTTTGACTCAGAACATTCCTGTCCTGTTGACTTTCGTGAAGGCAATCATAGACAGGCAACATCTACCCTTCTAGCAGGCTTGGTTGCACATCGTTATGCAGATGCTTCGAAAAAGCCATACCAACCTATTGACCTTATGGATGACATGAGGAGGGAATATGGGATTACTATGTCTTGTAAGAAGGCTTTGGTAGTTAAAAGAAAAGCAATGAGCAAACTCTATGGTTCAGATGATCAATCGTACCGCTTGTTGCCTGCGATGTGCTATAAGCTTGAGAAAAATAACCCGGGGTCTGTTATATCTCTCACAACATGCGAAGATGGCAAATTTAAGAATATGTTCTTCTCGCATTGTGCGTGGAGGCAAGCATGGATTCATTGCTTTCCAATCCTTATTATATATGGGACTTTTATGAAGGCTTACTTTCGTGGAACACTGCTGACTGCATGCACACAAGATGCTAATCGACAGATTGTCCCTTTAGCATTTGGCATATGTGACGTTGAGAACATTGAGTCTTGGTTGTGGTTCTTAAGCAATGTGAAACATTCACTAATTGAACGCAGTGACATGTGCATCATCTCAGACCGTCATGATGGTATCTTGTTTGCAGTAGATAAGGTGTTTCCTTTCATTCCTCATTGCTATTGTACTGAACATATACTGCGCAATCTCAAAGGGAAATTTAAGGGCAAATCAGAATCAATTGAGTGGAAGTTCAGAGCTGCTTCTCGGGCTGCTACTGTTGAAGAGTGTGAGGAGTATCTTTCAATGTTGGATGAGGATGATCCACGTATACGGGTATACCTTGATAAGATTGGAGTTACAAAGTGGTCTAGATGTAAGAGTCCAACATCACGTTACTCCTCCATGACTTCAAATTTGGCTGAGTCAATGAACAATGTCAATAAAAATGCACGGGATTATTCTGTAGCAAAATTGGTTGAATTCCTTCGTGGTAGGATGCAACGATGGTTCCATGAAAGGGCTGAGATTGCTAGTTCCACACGTACTCCTCTTCCAAAGAAGCGCGAGAATGAACTGATTCAATTGCAACGTGATGCATTTCGGATGAAGGTCTGTTATTTTAAGAGTAGAATATTCAC